TTTAAGTATTTAATGTACTTATAAACCCAACCAAGCAGCAATTTTTAAAATACTAAAACCTTTAAATTACTACAATCTTTTTACTATCTGTGAATCCCTGAACTGTTTTCTCATTTTTTCAAGCCTACATTTATAAATCTGCTCTCTTTTAAACATCTAAGCATTTGTTTAGTTGAAAATAAAGGAGAATAGTACAGCAGACATGGTGTCTTATTCGGTCTCCTTTAAAAACACTTTCAGGTGTACAGTTGGTAAGCTAAGGCAATTCTATCCATGGGTACTGGAGGGCTGTGGGAAATGTCATTTTTATGGTGAGATTTCACATAAATGTTTCAAAGAAATATTGTTCAACTATGCATCTTACTACTTGTCTACGATTTTCTCAGCTTTTCTGTTTTCTGTTTGATTTTGTCAGCTTTTTAACTCTTCTCTGCTGGGCACCCTAGGGGAAGCCTCACCCAGGGAAGCCTCAGTCAGTCTACCATGAGGTGCTTTATTCAGATCATTGTTTTCAGGTGGCAACCACTCCCCCAAATCACCCTACTCTTTCTTTTTCTATTATCCAATCAAACAAGGTCTGCTTTAGATCCTTTATTCTTTTGATATCTTTATGTCTCTAAGTTGATGAATTGTTTTTTAAGCTTTTCATGCATGACCCTCCCCAATCAGGTAGCACAGTAGCACAGATCTTTTAACTTGAATGTATTGCTATACAAATTTCAGACATGGGTAATTCTGCAATTCTATTCTTCCTCAAATCTCTCCTTTAAAATGCCCTGGGATTTCTCATTTTATATATTCATTATGTCTTGTTTTAATCAAAAGACTTCATTAGATTCAGTCCTGAATAAAATGACAACTCTTCACACTTCAATGGGCTGAACAGCCCACTCATTGCATCTGTCCCTATATACCTCTCTTGGAAATGAGACTGGTGGAATACTGCATGTTATCTCCTACCCGTAGGGCTTCTTTACTTCTAATGTCCCCAGAATCAAGTTCCAGATCTTCCTGACTTTCCAAATTCCTTCAATATCTGATTTTACCCAAACTTCCTAACATTTTTCTCATACTCCGCCAATTCAAGCATGTCTTCAGCTGGTCTTCTCTTATTTTACCTCAAATGCCCATCCTATGACTTCTTCCCAAATGGCAATTATACTTTAAGGAGTAAATTTTCAGTCTCACCTGTTACAGTTTATGCCTAGATATCGCCCTCCTCCCCCCCCCCCAACAAAGCCTCATGCAGTCATGGGGTGGGCTTCTAGAGTTTGTGATTAATTCACGTTCCGGTGCTGGGATTATGGGTGTGAGTGCTACATTCACCTTGAGGTGGGTAACTTGCATACAATGTAAGGGAGGGAAAAAAGCTTGTTCGCTGCCCCTCCCTTTTTGCTCTTGTTTTGCTGTTTTTCTGCCACTATGTGCCATGAACTATTGCCCTCTGCCATGTGCCACTCTGCCTTGCAGTCTGTGGAGTGTGGACTGAAACCTTCACAAACTGTGAGTTAAATAAACCTTTCCCTCTTTTACTTGGGTGTCAGGTATTTTGTCTCACCAAGGAGAGAGAAAAGTAACCAAGACATCTGGCAGTTAAGCATCACTAATTTTATCTCTAAGCAATTCTTTTTTTCCTGAATCGAATATTTCCTTTACTTTTATATTACCAGTCCAAACAAAAGAACTTGTTTGTAATGTGAGCAATCCAAGTTCAAATAAACCTAAGGTGAAATTCTGCAGAAGCAGCTGATACCTGCACACCAAAATGCTGATTTGTGTACTTCTAAACTATAGAGGCTCCTTAATTGAGTTTTCATGAGGACAGTAAAACTCTCACCTACCATGCATGAATTTAAACAATACAATGAAAAATGAAAGCTTTATGTACTCAAAATCCCAATACATATGCAGTAAAACATAGGCCTCTCAACAGCCTCATATTTCATACTCTGTGTCATTCTTATGGGCATTGAAATAACCATAACCTACTGTACCAAGGCCCCAGCTGACCTTGATTTTCCTCTTTTGAGTCATCTCATTTGGTCTGCCCTGCATGATGATTCTCATTTCTTGGCTCTTTTAATAAAGCTAAAGTAGTTGTTGGGCTCCACTCATGTTGGTCTTGTTTACTCCAGAAAGAGCTTCTTAGTCTACAGTTCTGCTCTTCTACCCCAGCATGGAGGAGCTGTAGCCTACTGTGAGGTAGGATCCTCAGGGCCAACTGTGTTTGCTCTGTGCTTTATGGCTGGAAAAGATTCCCAGCACATTTGTAGGAAGAGTATCTTTTGAAAAGTCCAGCCTTAAAGTTAGATAAATAACTAAGTCTAAATTTCCCTTAAAAAAGATAGCAAACAAAAAGAACATCCCATCAGTTTAAAGGTTGCTTCCTTGACCTACCTCATCCACTCACCATACTCAGTCTAAATCAGGACCCTTTGTTTTAAAATGTACTTGGACTGTGTTCTTTGTCTCAAAACACGCATCTCACAGAATACACTGGGGTTTCTGAGGGATCAGTGCATTTTTTCTCACTACTGGGTGGGTTCTACCAGAGCTGATGGTGGGTCTGGTATAGTTTAGCATTGTTGTCAGCCTCATCACTGACTCTACTCCTTAAATAATGCAGAATATAAGAATAACTGTAGGGTTGGTGGAGAACAAAAGGAAATAAATATATAAAATAGTCTATAAATACTGTAAAGCATGGGGGCTGGGGATTTAGCTCAGCGGCAAAGCGCCTGCCTGGCAAGCGCAAGGTCGTGAGTTCGGTTCCCCGTACCGGAGAAAAAACCAAAAAAAAAAAAAAAAAAAAAAAAAAAAATACTGTAAAGCACATATATGTAAGTGGGTGTTCATGAGTGTGCACTGAATACTGTGGTTAGCACATGGTAACTATTCCATAAATATTGACGTTTTTAACCCTTCCTTGAAATGTAAACTGGAAAAATCTTTCTTGAGCAGCAATGTAGACACTTACTCTGCTACGTTGCTCACTTTGTTTCCCAACTAAAAGCACCAGACTTACTGGAGTAATGTTTTCTACTCAAGCATATCCCTGAGGCCAAGCCTGGCACCCTACCTCTCAGGACTCTTCAGTTCCCAAATACCCAGTGCTCTCATTCTATATTTAGAGGTTTAAACTGACAAAATTGACAAACTCACATTTCTAAATAAGTCTAAAACTCACCACGTCTCCCTCTACCAACCAAAATGCTTTGGGGAAAAACAGAGAGCCAGAGGGCCACGTGTTAGGAAAAACGAATCCTCTGGCGCACCATCTTGTCTTCCAAAGTGAATCTTCCAGTGTACAAAGTTTGCCTAGAGGCTTAACAGGCACTTTAGTAACGGAGAGAGTTAAAAATAATGACTCATGAAACCTAGATTTATGCTTCAGTCCATTGAAGCAGTCTGACACGTTATGTGGAGCTCAAGGAACGTGTTTGATAAACAACTTGAAAACTCTGGAGGAAAGAACAGCATGTCTCAGTGTCTCTTGCCCTTGATCATCTCTTCTACATAGATGTCATAAATCCCCATCTTGCCTGTTAGCAGTGCTTTAAAACTGTAGGATTCTAGTAAAAACAGGCGGATCTTCTCAACCAACAAGCTCTTAGGATGGTTTTATGAGACGAGGGGAGAAAGGGAGGAGGGAGACGAAAAGAGGGAAAAGAAAATCAAGGAAGGAATTGAGGAGAGAGGGTGGAAGAGAGGGAGGGATGAAGAGAGGGAGGGATGAAGAGAGGGAGGGAGGGATGAAGAGAGGGAGGGAGGGATGAAGAGAGGGAGGGAGGGAGGGAGCGACGAAGGAAGGAAGGAAGGAAGGAAGGAAGGAAGGAAGGAAGGAAGAAAGGAAGGGAGGGAAGGAGGAAGGAAGATAAATGAGAAAAGATGAAGGTCCCCAAATCACTGGCTAGGAAGTGGCAGTTTCTTCACTGCAGGAACGCAGCAGTTTTGGAGGCAAAGGGTGCCTCTTTGAGTTCTTGGAGTAGAGACCGCTGTGGGTTGGTCTGGAGAGAGGAGCGCAAGGGCAGCAATTTTAATATCTTTGCTTAGGAAGAAGCTAATGAGTAAGTCAGACCATGACTGTCAGGTTTTGGACAAAGTGATTCAACTTTAAAAGTTGTAGTTAGGACTGTTAAACAAAAATAGAGGCGGGTGGAAAAGGAGCAGGAAAATGGGGTGGGGTGGGGTGCGGGCACAAGAGGAGGAAGGTGAAAGTATGCTATGGCTTTCTCCACGTGCCTGCTCGCTCCCCACTCCCTCCAGAAGCGAGGAAAGTTCCGGGGTGGGCGAGGACGCTCGGTCTCCAGACCAGCGACGCCCGGGCGCCACGGTCCCCTCTCGGGGAGGCGAAGGCAGGGCCCCCTCCCGCCCGGCCTGTCCGGAGAGCAGGGCTGCGGCGCCCGCGGCCCGCCTCCTCCTGGGGAGCTGAGCGCGAGCGGGGCTGAGACTCCCGGGCAGGAGGCGGCGCGGGGCCTGGGCTGAGTCCGCGGCGACCGCACGGCCTGCGGGACCCCGCGGTGGCCCACGCGCCCGCCCCGGGTCCTGGGAAGCGGGGTTCTCAGCCGGAGGGAGCGCTATGTTAGTTAGTTAGGGTTAGGAGGCGCTTTTTTGCTCACTGGGCCGCCTGGAGGGTGTACGGGGTCCGCGAACGCCTGGAGCACCCGGACCCCGAGGGACCCTGGAAGCGCAGAGCGCGGACCAGACCCGACGAGCCCGCCGCGCTCCCGGGACGCCCGGCCCCCAGCCTGGAGGCCACCACGCTCCCCGCCCGGGACCCGCGACCTCACTTGCTTCTTAGTTCTTCAGAGAAGTTTTGGGGGGACCGACTCACGTCTGCGCTGTGCGGAAACTGCTCTGCTGGGCGGGAAGGGCGCCGGGGGCAGGAGCGACGGCAGCGCCTCCCTCGGCCCGGGCCGGCGGGCAAGCGTCCGTCCAGCAGCTGCGGCCCTGGCCCAGGTGACGCCCGGCCGTGCTCGCTCTCCGGGGCGCAGCTTCGCCGGGCCCGCCCTCCGCGTGCATGTGCGGGGCGCGGGGCGCGGGCTCTGCCGCCGGGCCTCGGGGAGACCTCGTGCATGGCCGCCCGGGGGGGACCCCCGCCCCCGCCGCCCACTGCGCGGGCGCGGGCCGGTCTGCAAGAGCCGTAGCTATGGGCGCCCTGGCCGGCTGCTGGGTCCTGAGCCTCCTGGCCTACGCGTACCTGTCCTGGGGCCAGGGCCTAGAGGACAAGGAAGAGGAAGGGTCCCGGCGAGCTCAAGCTGCTGAGAGTCCCGGGCCCGCGCAGCCGCACCTCATCTTCATCCTCGCGGATGATCAGGGATTTAGAGATGTGGGCTACCACGGCTCTGAGATAAGGACGCCCACTCTGGACAGGCTGGCTGCCCAAGGAGTTAAACTGGAGAACTACTATGTCCAGCCCATTTGCACGCCGTCCAGGAGTCAGTTTATTACTGGAAGGTAAGAGTTACTGCTTCTTATATTCATGCCTTGGAGAAATCTTTTAATTACAATCCAGCTTCTGTTTTTAAGGGATTAAAAGAAAATATGGTGAATGAATGAATGATGTATGGTGTTAGCTTATTAAAATGAATGTCTTAATTACTAGACAATGTAGTTTCTACTCATCTAGTTTTGCTTTATGCTCTGAACCACCTGTGAGATTTTGAATGAGGTCAGGACCTGTTAACATTATTCCACCAACCGGAGGAATTCTAGAAGTCTCCTATTCCAAATTTATTCTGCCTCCTGAACACTCAGATCTTGTTTCAGGTGTGGCTTTTCTGCAACTTTTGGGTTGTTCTTAAGTTTAGAACTGAATGATCAAAGCACCGGGTCATCTCAGAGAGAAAGAGACCTTAAACACAAATGGAAGGTAATGTAAAATATATGTGTTGTATACAGGACACTGCTTGGGTCTTCAATGGATGATTTTATCTTATGGTATCATGAATGAAGACAGACTTAATTAGTGAGACAATTCTCAAAATGCAGGGAAATTCAGTGGTAATGGTGGGCAGGGGTTAGATTTCATCTGAAGTTTACTGCTCCTCTCCTGTCTGGAAATCTGAGCAACTGGCAAAATTCAGATTATCTGGCTGCTTAAGGGAAGTGTTTTTAATGTTGTCATCACTTTGCTACATAGCTAAATCTTCTACTGAAGTGATTCACTTCTGTTCACTTCTTTTCTATTTTACACTATCCTATCAGAAGATGGGTGACGGTAATTGACTTCAGGGTCCAAATTGAGTCTGGATTTAAGATAAAGAAGGAAGGCTGGGGTCAAGTTGCTCCTAGACAGAGGTAGAAGAGAAGCTTCAACCTGTGGACCTTGCCTGGATTTCAGTTGCAGGACAGGGAACCTTTGCTTTGGTTAAGTTGTTCTTGGAACTGGATCTCTTCAGAGTAGCCAGCATCCTTTGGAAAAGTAAAGACTACAGTATTTTGTAGAAATCTCTGTCTTGCTGAGACTTTTGCTTACAGCATAATTTCCACTGCTAGCAAACTCAAAATTTAGCATCACTCTAAACTAAAAGAGGAAAGAAAGAGAAAAAGTACCCCATATACAGACTGATCTTGAAGGTTAATTGTGGCATTTTTAAGTCAAGAGGATTTGATTATAAAAGAGCAGATTGTTGACTGGAAAATAAAAGGTCCATCTGGTGGCCTGGAGGTCAAGTTCTTTATGCCTAATCCCAGCCATGCTTATATTTGTCTCGTAAAACAAATGTGTCTGAAGTCTCACTAGACTGCTTCAACTAATTTATAGAAATAAGATTTGCACAGATGGCCAACTGTGATTGAAAATTTGTGACTGAATGATGTGAATTTATTTTTCACAGTACAGTGTATAGTCAAACAAGTGTATTCACCAAACAAGAAAATTTAGTTCTGAAACGTCTTGCACTGTTGAGATATCTAGTTTTTATCTTTTAATCTTTATATTACTTAGTAAGATGAAAGAAAACTAAGCTGGAAATAATTCCCTTTTTTTATCTTTGGTGAAAGATTGAGTCTTCTGTACTTTCCATGTGATCAAACATTTAATGAGAATATTTCTTTCCATATTAAAATTTTCTACTCAGCACAGCAAGTTGCACAACTGTTTTATAGCCAAAAAGTTCAAGTAGCTACTGTGATTTGATTTAAATTTCTATTTGAATTAAAGTGCTGAAGACGTTTCACTTGTAGTTCCCCTTTCAGACAAATTGCTGGAACTTTCCTTTAAATGAACACAGATGTAAGAAAGAAAGTGGTTATTGAAACCTAGTTCCAGGCTTACTATTAACACTGTGGAGCCCAAAGAATATGGTTATTTATCCTCTCTATGAGAACATGTCTAGGCTTTCTGGATCCTCTGAGTAAAAAAGGAAGCAATAAAATCCCAAGTGGACTGAATTATTTGAAGGGGGAAAATAGGTTATGTGAAAGAGGTTATGTGAGAGTACTCAAATATCTTTACCTGACCAAAAAAAATTTAAATGATCAAAGATGAATTTACTTTTGATACTACTAACTAAACAGTACTACCTCCATGCTTTGCTGGAGTCAAATTTAAAAGTTTATCTTTATTTTCTGCTGCACAAATCTGTAATACATTCCAGACTCCTTTAATCTTTTAGCCTGGCACTATTGTGTATTAATCAGCCAATCAGCATTTGTATGCAGAATCTTGTACAAAAGCTGAGGAATAAATAAGACGGCCCTTTCTCCAGATAGTAGTTCTCAAATTTGAGTATGCGACAAAGCACCAAAAATACTAGTTAACATACAGAGTTGTGTGTTCAACAAGTTATTCAGCTTCAAAATGTCTGAGTTTGAGCCTAGAAATCACTAGTAACTTAATGAGTATGTCAGGTTATTCTGATTAGAGTGCTAATAATAATAAATTAAGAGCATTAATACACATGCTGGCACCTGCTGAACAGTCATTGTGTTCCTGGATGATGTATTTGACATGTGTTATCTCGCGGAATCCTTAGTGCAGTTCCAAGTGTTACTTGGTAGTGTTTCCCCTATTTTACATGCATGTGCTGTACATAGCAGATTCCAGTTGCTTGACTTGGAGAAAGAGCACTCCTAGGTATTCAAAGTTGACTTGGTGAAATAAGAAGTTGATAGGAAGGTGCATGGACAAATATGTGAATGTTTAAATTTTTAAAGTGTTAATACAGTAAAAGACACATGTACACTCGTCTCACTCAAAATGCTCCCCCTCACTTGTAACACACTTATCCCATCATTCTTGCCACTTTCCGAAACAGTTCTGGAAGTCTTCTTTCTTGAGTGTCTTTCTTTATGCTCTCTAGACTGCCTCAGTGTCCTGAATCCGTTCAAAACATTTACTTGTCATGGTCATTTTGACTTTGAGGTTGACCCAGAAATCACATGGTACCATATCCAATGAATAAGGTGGATGAGGGCAAATCATAATGTCCCTAAAAGCCTACCTTTCCATTGAATGGCACTGGGAAGTCCATTCACTATGTATTTTATCACACCTTGTAAAGACACTCAGGAAAGAGGACTTCCAGAATTGCTTCAGAGAGTGGCAATACCAATGGGATAAGAGCATTTAAAGCAAGGGTAAGTATTTTGAGAGTGATCAGTGGCAATGTGTCTTATACCATAATAATTTTTTACATTTAAATATGTACCTTACTTTTTGATCAGCCCTTGTTTGATTTACCTCAAGGTAATAGTCTTAGTTTTTTAAGTGTCTCATTAATGACATGTTAATAACAGCATTGAATTAAGGCTTCAGAAAAAAATGTTTTGCAAAATTTGGACATGCATTTATTTATTCCGCTTGAAAACCATATTGACCATTTTTAAAAATGCAAAGGTTACTTGTATAATGCATTTTTGTAATAAGATATTTGGCAAATTCATTTCATTTAAAGCACCCCCTAACTGCTCTTCCTTGCCAAAGATAAACACTCTTGATTTCCAATAATTGAAATAAATTTTTCCTACTTCTGAACTTTATATGAATGAAATTATTCTTTTTGTCTAGCTTATTTCAACATTGTGTTTGTGAAATTTTTCCAAGTTGTTGCCTGGGGATACAATTTGTTCCTTTCCATTATTGGATAGTGTTCCTTTGTTTAAACATACTGTAATTTATTTATCCATTCTAAGGTTGGTGAACCTTTGGGTAGTTTCCATTGTTGGGCTGTTATGAATAGTGCTGGCATAAACAGGCTTGTCTAAGTTCTGGGTGGACATGTATATGCATTTCTATTGACTATCTAGAAGGAAATGGAATTGCTGGATGGTAGGGATGTTTATGTTCAGGTTTTACAGGTAATGCCCAACAATTCTCAAAGTGATGCTACCAGTTTATGCTGTCACTAGCAATTGTGTGGAAAGTTTCATTTGCTGTGCATCCTTGCCAAAAATTTTTTTTTTCATGTCAGTGTTTATGGTCATTGTACACTGGCTTAAATTTGCATTTCCCTGATAACTAATGTGGTTGAACGTCTTTATATTTTTATGCACCATTTCACTGTTCCCTCTTAAGAACTATTTATTCAGATATTTTTCATGCTTCTTCTTTAAATGATTGTCTTCTCCTTATAGACTTGTGGTAATTATTTGAATATTCTACTTCTTTGCCAGATACTTGTATTGTGAGTATCTTCTTCCATTCTGTGGTTTCTTTTTTATTTTTAATAGTGATTGTTTTGGTTTGGTTTGGTTTTGGTGAGTAGGTTTTAACTTTATTATAATCCAGTTTACATTCTTTTTCATTTTATGTTTTATTTAAGATATTTTAGTATAAGTCATCATGACAATAGTCTTTTTTCCCTAAAATTTTTATTATTTTCTTTTTACATTTCTATCTTCAATTTATCTTAAATTAATTTTTTAGTATGGTGTAAATCAGAGTTAGCTACCTTTTCCAAATGCACATCTCTTTGGTTTTCCCTGTCATGAAGAAGGTGAATTGCAGTACCACATCTGAAGAATCTGATAAACGTCCATCCATGTATGGGCTGTTTCGGGGCCTATCTCGTTCCATTGGCTATCCATGTGTCAAGAGTACAGTCCTCTAGGTACTACAGCTTTGTAACATTGATATCTAGAATGGATACCCTCCTCCTTGTTCTTCAAAATTGCTGTGGCTGTTCTTTGCCAGTTTATTCATTTTAATAGGAAAGAAGAGATACAAGTGCGCAGATGCAAATAGTTTGGAAGATTGGGTTTGGGGGCTATAAAAGGTAATTTTGTTCTAAATTATCTTATTTTCCTAAGTACTATATGTAAAATCATCAGCAGAGAATGAAGAGAGAGACAATACAAAATACTTTTCTAGGAGAGTGACAAAGTGAGTTGAGTAGAGAAATATGGTAAATACACTGAGCACTAATGAAAGCCCACTTGAGACTTAGGGTCTTAAATTCTAACAGAGACAGTCACCACTGATTTGCTTTGCTCCTGCCAGGCTCAGTTGCTAG